AACGCTTATTTTTATTGTGATATTTTTTATAATATTTTTTTATTTAAATAGTTTTTGATTGAAAGAAAAATTAACACGTAAAATAAAAACCGGCAAATTTCGAGCTGTTCTTTTATATCGAATATACATGAATTTTAACCAAAATCTTCGTATCACACTTTACCCTTCACATCTGTTCCTGTTACATACTTGACATGTAACCAGATCTCAACGACCCAGCCTGTCGAATTCCAACTCGTTAGTATACATCGTTAGATAAGTAAACCGTAATTAAGGGTTGTTGCTTTGTGAACAACGTTATATTAGGTCGTTTGGAATTGCGTTCCCTTATACTAAATAGTTGGAAATTCAATATTATGAATCCAAAACTTCAAATTTAATTTAATCTCTAAAATTATATAAATAGTTTTTAAAGATATGTGTATGATATGGTGCACTTATTTTCCCCGCCTTTTTTATCAATATTTGATTCAATTTAAAATTCGTGTTATTTGCGGATAACCGCTGTACCGCTTTAATCTACAACAAATTGCTGCTGATTTATAATTTCAATAATTATTAATTACGATGAACAAGCTCGCTATCGGGTTTAGTAGTAACAAACGAGTTTGTCAATTGATTTTGCTTGTTCTCTTGTATGCTTCTTTTCCGCACCAACGTTCGATAACGCACTGGCACAACAGACTGTTTCAAAATGACCTTCGACTGGAAAACCACTTCATCGCAGTCCTTGCCAGACGTAGTTCTTATTCATTTGAGTTCTTTTTACAAAAAAAGTTCAATTCCAATTAATAACGGCTTTGAAAAATTCGTCGTTTTTCGTCCTCAGGTTTTCTATACTAAAGGCATCAATGAACTTCAATTGTAATTTCAAACATTCATTCATAAGAATGGCCTATAATTTCAGTCACTTGACTCAGGTATTTAATTACGATTAGTAAAAAGATTTTTTTACGAAATAACAGAATAATATGCTCTAGACACAAGAGTAATAATAACTTTTACCAGCAGTATCATTGTTTAACTCCAATAATCCAGACAAAGACGCTTTATATTTTAAAACGCACTCGGTAAATGCTACTGCTTTGTAGATGCTAAGCATTGCTCTAAAAAAATGTTTTGGACATTATGAGTATTTACAAGTAAACAATGTATTGATAAATTTAAATATCATTTTGTAGGCGCATGTGCGTTTGTGTGTGAACTTAACACATAACACGTAAACATTAATTTATCGCAACATTTAATTAAACAAGAACATTGAAATAAAACCCACATAAACATCGTAATGTATGTCCGGCTTAAGTTTATGTAAAACGACGTTACCCTACATAAATTAACTGTAATATTTATGTTACCAATGAATTATTTTTAACTAAATTAAAAACTAAATTTAAAACTTGAAATAATAGGCGTATGAGTGTATATTACGCAATTATTTGAGACAAAATAGTCGTAAAATATAAGTCGTATTATTATTTTTCCAAGAGTGCTTTAAATAGAAGAATCCATACTAAGAAATATAATTGAAGTGTCCGGTTTTCATTTCAAAATAATAACTTCTTACCAAATGTGTATAAAACTATATACGGTACTCATAACAAAAAAAAAACAATTTTTAAACATTTTGTATGTCTGTTTTTACGGTTAATCTCCGAAAAGGCTGGACCAATTTTGATTGGACTTTTACTAGCAGATAGCTGATGTTATAAGGAGTAACTAAAACTTCTTTTACTTTTGAAAAATAATTAATGTTTCACGCTTACAAATTAAAGTCATGAAATCCAATACACAGCTTGTACTTAATATAATATTTATTGACCTGCGTCACCCATTTCGTCCCTTAGTTGTCTAAATAGGCTTATCCTCTCTTCTATGAAAATAAAAATTAAAAACCTTGGAAAGGTTGTATGTTTTTAAAAGCATTGTTTTATGATATAATAAAATAATAATGTCCTCCAAACCAAATCCCGGTCACGGCGGCCAGCCTCAACGGAGACTAGCCATTAGCTCAGGACAGGATTATAGTACCTAAGTGTATGCGCAAGCACAGGTGCACTCTCTATTCCCTCACTCTCATAATCTGATGGAACGGTAAACCGACACGACCGGAGAGAGATCAGGCACAGGATCAACGGCTTTACGTGCTTTCCGAGACACAGAGTGAGCAAATTGCGGACTCCAGGAAGCTACTGAGAATTTCTTGACGGAAAAACTCAATAATTGATTTTTGGCCCACCCCTTGATTCGAACCCAGGATTTCATGATCAGTACTCAGACTACTACAACCACTAGACCAACGAGGCATATATTATATAATTGACATCAAATATTTGTAATTAAAATATATGTAATTTTAGAAGTAATTATCGTAAATCATTAAAGTGGCAATTTAGTTGTTACTTTATTTTAACTATTCGTCATTCGGAATATTAACAGTCAAGTTATACTGACATGTTATGTATTTGAAGTTTTTGAAGCACGAGGATCTTTTGTATAGGAAGTGACAAAAACTCTGTGTTTTGTTTGTTGTTTGATTTTGAATTTGATTGTTTTGTGTGACTCAATTACTAAAAACGAAGCACACTGTCAAATGTTCAGTGGTGTCAAAGCACAAGCAAGAGGGTCTATTATGGATCTCAATGGGTTAACATAGTCAAGTGAATCGTTCAATTTATTTCACCATTTCATTAAAATATCCTTTATATACGTCACATTTATAAGCAACCATTGTCAACTATGTTATCCACGATTCACAGTGACGTGAGCAACAAGAGGGAGGGGTGTAGCGTGACCCCGGGTGGCAGTAATTAGGGGTGGCATTTTGGGAATGAAAGTCGTTTGTTATTATTTATTTTTTAATCTTTTTAAACGATGAATTACGAATTCTAATTTGAGATATTAAGTTTTAACATATTTTAAAGATTAGCTGTAACATTTTCATCAACAACTTCGAGCGTAGTGATATCACCAACTTACCAGGCTTGCACCAACTACTGGCACAGGTGGGTCATGGATGTTACACAAGACCTTTGTCTTAGCCATGTTAATCTCAAGACTAATCCGTTGGGAGGCACTATTGAAGTCATTAAACATGGTGCTGAGGTCCTCTAGTAATTCTTTCATAATCAAAATATCGTTGTCAAATCGAAGCTGATGTATTTGCCATTGATGTTGGTACCGCATTCTTTCCAGTCCAGCAGTTTGAAAACGCCTTTTAATGCAGCTACGAAGAGCTTTGGGGATGTTACATCACTATGTCTTACACCTCTCTGCAGTTGGATAGGTTTCACACTATGGCTCTGTACTCGAATAGTAGCCATCGTAGTTCTACTGTAAAAACACTTTCGTACTATGATACAACGAAAGCGACAGTAAACTTTGCACAGCTAAAGGAACTGTGGGACCGCCAAAATCGACGTAGTCAAAGGCTTTCCCTTGATGGTTATTTATACAAATGCAATTTCTGTATATAAAGTCTCCATAATAGAACTTTATATTAAACGACGTAACCATTACGTAATGATTTCTTATATTTACGCAAACACTACACGTTGAATCTATACTCACTACACGTCGATATCGAGTATAATTTCAAAAAGGTAAAAAAAAATTAAAAATTGTTTTGAGATGTGTTTTCACATTACAATCGTTTCCAAATTTCGCATGCAAATTATTTAGAAAATGCCAAATTGCACCCTATTTACAAATAAATATGTATTAAAATTTAATGATGATCTTGAACATTAATCAAAAGTCTAAAATTTACTCAGTCTGTCAACACAGCGAATCGGGTTTGGCGACGCCAATCCTCGTATAAAATAAAGCTGACAGCCGTTCTATTGTGAATTGTACAGTCTGACTACAAAAAAGCATTTAAACACTGCTCCAACATGTGTTTACTTAGAAACGGACTTAAATGATAAACACATGTTAAACAATGGTTTAAATTTCGCTACCACTAAACCATGTTTAACGCGTGCCTCTATAGCCCCTCGGCTGTCCAAACGCCATATTCTAGCGTCTCAAATTATATGCGCATCTCTCAAAAGCCCAAATATGGCGTCGAGTGATAGCAAACTATTTGTAACATATATATGATATATAACATACATATATATAACATATATATCTGCATGATTGATTTTGTCTAAATTTGATTTAATAATGTGTTTTTTTTTTGTTTTTTTTTTTTGTGAACCTCCTTACTTTTTGTCCCGATTTCGAGTAGAGCTAAGTGATGCGTCGTAAACAAAAAGTTTATGAAAAAATTTTTTTAGTTTTTTTTTATATAATTGAATATGCTTTGGACGTACAAGTAAAATAAATAGTACTTGGAATAAAGGCTTATTATTTATTATTATTACAACTTTGCAAAAAATGGCGAAAAAAAATACTTTTCTTACTTTCACTTAGGTTATACATAATCTGATAGCTTATTTAATACAGCTTCCATTGATATATGATTTTAATATACCTTTCATACAAAATGTCTTGGAAATAGTCATTTTAATGAACAGCAGGAAGTAGTCTGGAAGTACTTCAGGAAGCGCTTAACAGATGCGCCATATTGGCCAAAATGGCCGCGACATTCGAGGGGGATATATAACGTTCAACTTTATTTTCCAGGTCATACTGCAATACATTCGTTCAGCATTCGATCATTCGTTTTATTTTACGCAAATGAATACGACTAGCTACGTAAAAAATTAAATTTTGTTTTGTCTCAAAGTTCAATAATAAAAAAGATATATATATATATATATATATATATATATATATATATATATATATATATATATATTATTTATTAACAAAAACATATCAGTTATGCTTGGCAGTTAGATGAAGAAAAATGTGAAATTATGTCAAACGCAACGTCTTTGTATAGATGTCAATGCTCAATGTCACTTCAAGCGTCCGCGACCGTTGCCTGCATCGTGTTGTTAGTGAATTGTTTCGCTGTATTTAATTTTTGTTCACTTTTGTCCTATTAAATAATGGAGCCGAAAGGAAATATTGCTCCTGAGCATCAAAATAATCGTGCACGAGGCGTAAATTGTACCCAAGAGGAAAAGGTTAGTTACGCTTATATACTATTCGTTTTAGGAAATCGGTCTAATTTTTTAAGCCGCATGAGCTAATTATTAAGAATATATAATAATAACACTACTTGCTTTGTTCTTTACGTGTTTAATTACCTAAATATTTACCACTTTCAGGATCTGTTTTTGGAAATAATGAGGGAGTCAGCGCCTATTATAGAGAGTAAATTTACCGATACTAATACAAATAAAATGGAAAGAATCTGGAGTGGATTAGAGTACAAAAGAGGTAATTATGTGGTCAGACTGATTTGTTTAGTTAGGATAGATGTTGATCAAATAGATGATAAGACTATATTTTTCTGTTACACCAAAATATTTTTAAGAAGGTTAAATTAATAATAAAATCGGTATTCTTTTTTATTGCAGTCTTAACTCAATAAAAAGGAACTCACTGGTAAATCCAGAGAGATCACCCAGTTAAAGGGTTTCTGGAGACGAACATAAGTGGCTGCATATAAATCTGTGTCACAACATAGAAGCGCTTTGCAAGCTACTGGTGGTGGACAAAGGCCGACATCTCCAGGTGATGATCACCTTAAGATAATGGAACTCCCAACAAATTTTGTTATAAGAAAATCTTTATGACGGCGATGCGGTCCCACAACTACAAGTAAGTTTTGAATTGTATGTACCAAATATGAATATGATGCAACTTTGCTTTATTAACTTTTATTAATTTACAGGGTGAATTTATAGTTATTGGAGGAACTGAAGAGCAAAATAACACATTATATGATATAGATGAGGCATGTATGAATATTATTAGTTTTAGATTAAATAAATTTTTTTCTTCCAAAGTATGAAACTCTACCAGCAGAGGAACCAGCTGTACAGCAAATGATTACAGTGGCAAATGTGCATAGCGAAGAGGTGAGTTTACCTGAAAAAAATTTGGTGCTTCATTCTGTTATTTTTATAGGATAAGGTTACAAACGAGCACACAGTCCACCTGATGGTAAGTGGTCGCTGCGGCCCATAGACATCTACATCTATCCTCGATTACAAATCAAAATGCAGATGCGTTGTCACACGTGAGGACTAAGATGGAATGCCTCGTTTCCAGTAAAAAAGTCTCCAGTTCTCTACACTCACCATACGAAACATAGCAGCATTAAGCTACTATTTCACACTGGTATTATGTGAGAGCGTGGTCCTTCCCCCGTCGAGCTGACCCATTCGTGCTACGACGTAGAGCAAATATAGTTATAATTTTTTATTATTATTTATAATTATAAATAAAACCTTATGAAAATCATTATTCACTCAGATTGATATCAAGATCCCTGAATGCAGCAGAAAAACACAAATGGTATTTCCTCCAAAGAAAAAAAGAAACAAAATAGAGAAAAGAAAACAAATAAGTTGTAAGTAGATTAATTGTATATAATTTTTATGATCTACTTTACTATATTTTCATGTTTTGTAAGTATCATTTAATAAATGATTGACACTGCCCTGTTGTATCTATGAACAACCATTATTAGGAGAATTATGAGGAAAAAGGCATGATTGTATGTATATAATAATATATAATAAAAATAAATAAATGTATAAATCATTTATTTTCTCATAAATACCATACATTACACAAAGAACATTATAATGGTACTATCTACTTAGTAAATAGGTGCCTAACATCTAGTTGAGCCTAACGGTTTTTAATTAAATAAGTAAATCATGTCTGTTACAGAGCTGGCAAGGAAGCTTTATTAAGAAGCAATATAGAATTTAAGGAACGGGCTTCAGCAATGTTGGAAGAAGAACATAAATTAAAAATAAAATTTCAAGAACAAGAAATAGCTCATCAGCAGTTGCGGCATAAACTGGAAATTGACATATTATTATTAGAAAAAGACAAAAAGAAATTGGAATTAGAATTGTTAAAAAAAAACTAGAATATAAGGACTAATTTTAAAAATTTTGGTTGATAAAACGTTGTCTAGTAATTGCTCCTCTAACTGTAGATCTCTCAGTCTGTGGCCTGCGCCGCTGACGAACATACCGAACTATATCAATGTCTTCATTCATATCAATCGCTATGTTATGTAGCACTGCTAATGCTACAATTGTGGTTTTCGCTGTGCTTAGTTCCATAAAAATGCCTCTTAATAGGCATCTGAATCTTTGTTTCCACAAGCCAAAACATCTCTCCACTGTATTCCTGGTTCTAATGTGTGCTCTGTTGTAAGCTTCCTCTTTGTCATTACTAGAATTAAGCAAAAGTGTAAAGAGATATGCAGTATATGCATATCCACTGTCTCCAAGTAATCTTCCATGAAAATCGCCACGTTCAAAGCGTTCTTTTATTGTGCTTTCATTTAAAACTCGAGAGTCGTGAGCACTTCCTCTCCAACGTGTAACTATGTCTCTGATTTTCAAGTTTGAATCACAGACAACTTGCACGTTGATAGAATAGTAACCCTTTCTGTTCACATATCGCCACCTACCCTTTTGACTCGTATATGCGTGCAGTCTTTAGCCCCTATTACCGAGGGGAAATTACATATATTTCTAAATCCTCTGATGGTTTCCCGTTTGATCTTCTAGTGTAGTGGGCATGTTGATGAATAAATGAGCTTTTTTAGCTAATGCTTTCCCAACATTATGAGCGATTTTGCTGGCTGATTGCTGAGAAATCCCATGCATATCTCCACTGTCATCTTGAATCTGAAATAAAATTGCAAATAATAGGTAAACGTTGGGTGAAGCTATTATTCTCTACCGTCGCCACACGTAAGCATAGTTTAATTTTGTATGAATCGAACTTAATTGATGATGTGTACCGTAATTCACAAGCCACTTGCACTGCTGGATCTATTGTGTTACCACGAGAATCACTCGGTATATCGTCTTTCAGAAGATCTAATATTTTTCTAGTAAAAAGTTTGCTGAACCTATATTTTTCCTTAAACTTGGTGTCGTCAGATTTTTCAAACGGATTAACCCTCACACGAACCGTATTACTTTCTCGGAACATTTCCGCATAGTTATCCATGTCGTCTTCATCGAAGTAATCAACAAAATCAATTATATCCATGTTAAATAAAAATACTGAACTGACGGAAAAGATAGGTTAAACACTAGTTAAACTAGGGTTTTTGGCTGTTTAAATTTAAACAAAGTCTATGCCGTGCCTATCCATAAACCACCGTTAAACACGCTTTTGTAGTAACTCATTAATTAACATGTGTTGAACAGATGTCTACCTTTTTTGTAGTAAGACAGATAGTATTCTATGTGTACACCCATATCTACATGAAGGCAATTTACTGTGTACTTTACTACCAGTTTAATGAGATAACTTTAATTTTGTTTAAACTTAGGTTAACATTTAATGCTTAAATATTTTCAAATTTAGGTTCATATTACCAAATCTGAAAAAGGTCTGTATATTATATAATCTACTCTCGCATATTGACTTAGTGATTCTCACCCATGTCAGCGTTTAGTTTTCCGCCTGCCTGCGCAATCAACGTCGGCGACAGATGAGCGTTTACTGAAAGCCTGGCCTTTACCGAGGCAATTTATTCCATTTATAGCATTTTTACTGGGACAGAAACTCTATTGACGTTTTTTAATATTATTTTACATCAAGAAATGTCCATAGAGGCAAAATATAATTTTATTATGATTCCGAAGTTTTATGAATTGTTGAAATTTTATGAATGTGTAAGCGAATAGAATGGAATATTTTTTATTCAATATAGATTACAAGTTATTCCTATTGAAAATCCATTTTTACTCTACTACTGGTTCTAAAAAAACCTCTGTCCTGGGAAGAACCAGTAAGAAACCCAACGGGACTTTATTTAAATATTTACAATGTCAATGGTCACAAAATATTTACAAAATTTATTTTAGAAACAGCTTGGAAGCGACCACGTCATTCACAGGGGTTATCATCAACCATATATTTATTTATATTATAATAACCCTTTTTATAGAGTTTTGTTTGAATAAATATAATATTTAAACTTGGTAATAGACAGACCTTGTGTATTTTCTGACACTTTTTTTTTTGTACACGTTGTAATAGCGTATACATTGCCCTAAGAATGAATTACTGACTCTGTGGAGTCGAGAAACTGTTATCATTAGCTTTTGTTTGTCCCTAGTGTTTACAGAGTGTATATCACATTTTTAACTAAAACAACCTTTTTTGTGAACATACATTAAATTTTCATAGATATACAGAGATACCAAAGTTAATATATTTATTAACTTTGGTATCTCTGTATATCTACTTTTTTCAATAGAAGGAATGTCTTGTTATCAGGACATGAACAAGCAGCAGTAAAATAAAATAAAAATATTTTTGTAATGGAACAAAAGTAACAAACGGGAACACAGTTCACCTTTCCTTTCTAGTCATTTATTTCCGGTTTAATAAGTAAATTATATGTTAAAAGTCTATTTTGAATAAGGAAGAGAGTGGTGAGTCATCACTATGCTTCGAAAAGCACGTAAAGCAGTTACTCCTGTACCAGATTTCTATGCTGTTGTTTTGACACAACCGGGTGGTTTGGAAAATAAGGGAATACAGATATCTGTGCTTGCACACACACTCGTGTATTAGAATCCTGACCTGCACATGGCTAGTCTTAGTTGAGACTGGGCACAGTAGCCGAAATTCTGTTTTGAGGACATTATTATGAGCATCTTTGATAGCGGTGTGTCACCACTGTGCCTTGGTATGAACTTAAAGCTAGTTACTTCTGCGCCAGATTTCTACCCAGCTGTGTCGTATTGACCATCGGACTATGGAAGTGAGAGAATAGAGAGCGTACTTGTGCTTGCGCATACTCTCGTGCACTAAAATCCTGTACTGCGCAGATGGCTCTCGGTTAAGACTTCCGCCGTAGCCGAAATGCTGTCTGACGGACATTATTATGAGCTGGTTATTTGTATTTTTTGCACTAATTATTGACAGATTTTATCGATGTATTTATCTAGCTGTTTTATGAATTATACTCAAAGGCGCTATTTTTATGTCACGTCAACCATGCGCATGGAAATACGTTCGAAAAATCACAAGTGTACTACTACCCGATCGTATCGATCTCTCTTTTTTTGTCTCGTATGATAGCTGAAAGCGGCATTTAAATTGCCTACCTATAAAGTTTCATGACCGTTACATGCGTAAATTAGTTTTATTAATTTTCAATACACGCAATGGCCTTATTTTCTTTAAACTACTTTAATCATGTATTTTATGAAAAACTGTACTATATTCTTATATAATATTACTATAATATAGTAAAACTACTAGTCCGATTTGAAAAATTATTTTGTATATTATACCCAGATTCATAAGGAGTTAGTATGTATAGGCTATCTAACATTAGGCTACATTTCTCAGTTAGTCTTAAATATTATTTGTTGCAACAAAAAGCAATTCAGAAATAAAAGCGCCCCGAAATGATTTATTCACATGCGCTGACGTAGTGGTAAGTGATACCACAATAAGGTATTTTATGACAAAAAAATATTGAAAATGTAACAAAGATTTATGAGCGTTATTATTAGGCATGGCACATTATTGCTCACAAATGAAAGGTACTTCATCATCAAGAAAATTTTATGAAGATAAGTTTTGCTCTGTATAGCATGTTATTTGGACATGTTACTTGGAATGAAAAATTAAAAGAATTAAACACTCGGCTTGACGCAAGCCCTAGTTGCCCGATGGGAACCGAGAGAAACCATCAGTGAACGTTTCTATGAGCGAGGTTAGTTCAAAATTTTTAGCTAAAAAATTGACTAAATTATTGTAGCACTTTCTTCTCACTTTCCTTTAAAACTGAAAAAAACTGCGCTTCAGGACACTTTCTGGGGCACAGTGGGTTGAAGCTTACCCGTGACGGGAAGGGTGAGTTGAGTGAGATTTTCGCTCTATAACGTACATATGCAGATAGATAAAAGTACTTAAATAATTTTGCCAATTTTTCCATACATTGTTATCTAAAATGCTTGAACTAGATTTCATATCATGTCGCGTAGCTCAGACACGTGATATATACGGGTGCAACTTCAGGGCACAGCAAATGTTATATATGGAAGGCCAAATCAACAAAAATTCTAAATTGTGCTCAACAAAAGTCATTTAATTAGGGCTTATACTGTTAGGGATACATGATCGATAAAAACCCCTGGGAATAAAGTGATCGCTACCATGTTGTTTGTAATTGTCGTCATTTTAAATTAAAGAAGTCCCTTGTCCCTTCCCGTTCCCCAAAACAGTAGTTTTTTTCCGAACCGCTTGTTAAAGCAACAATAACTTTTAATAAGTATTCTTGTTTAAATAAAGTCTATATTGAATAAAGTCATTATTTTATATTATTATCCTTTCCATTCTTCGATTCTATCCTATTCTACCCAAGCCTACACAAGCTTATCTTATCCTATCCTATCCTACTTTAGTCTACTATATCCTTATCTATTTTATTTCATTCTATAGTTTTATAAAATGTGAGAGGGTCCCCTGTAACACAACATTCAAAGGTTTTTATTAAACAGGTTTATTTTTCAGAGTAGCCAATTTCTAAATGTAAGTTCAAATATAAATGATGTTAAACCGTTATTGCAGTTTTTGAAAATTCTAATAAATAAGGTTTGTACTTTTATTTGAAATTATCCCAAATTGAATGTGATTTATGGGCAACAAAGTTTTTGCCTACCGATCGACACAGCGAACAGTAAAGTTAATTAAAATAGTGCATGACCACTCATTTTAATTTAAAAGATAAAACAACATAATGTTTGAGATTTTATTAAATTAAATTTTTCTCTCCATCTGTCTATATTAATTATGCTGAATCTTATCTGAGGAGAGACCCGGTTATGGGCCCTTCATTCCACTAATCAAATATTATGTACCAAAAAATTTGTATATTTT